GTCCCTCAGAAGGGTGGCTGAGTGCAGCCAGGAAGACAAGGCCCAGTTTGCAGGTCCGACAAAGAGTTTGTCCTGTCAGTGGCAGGATACCTGTAGGTGGAGAATGGAGGTATAGTTTAAGCTTTGTTTTGTTAAACCTCTGGGTCATCTCATTTATACTGGGGCCAAGTTTAGGTGTTCAACATGTCTCAGTCAGAGAATGCAGCCAGGGGTGAGTCCTGATGGTAGAAGTCTGATTGCCTATCTGAAAGAGGAAATAGGGAGAGTGCCATGTATTACTATATACTACTAAATATTCATTGCATAAATATTACTATATATATATATATATATATATATTACTATGTATTCTATGTAAACCTCAGAGACAGGACCAGGGAGTTTATCTGGAGTTATTCCCCCAGGTAGAAGTCTCTAATGCTGAACGAGAGGGAGTGTCTCCCAGTTGAGGCACAGTTCACTGTTTAGGCCACCAAGGTGTGAGAGTGCTCTCTGCAATATGTCAGGTGGCCTGGGTCACAGGCTGTGTGTCCGAAGAGTGTCCATCCACTTCCTGGTTCATGGATGGCATCACCTCGCTGTGTCCTCATATGGCAGAAGGGGTGAGGGAGCTCTCTGGATCTCTTTCTATAAAGAGCATTAAGGCTTTAATGCCTTAATGGAGGATTGGAGGTCCAAGATAAAGATGCTGGTAGGTTCAGCATGTCTGGTGAGGGCCTGGTCTCTGCTTCCAAGGTGGCATCTTGGAAGGCTTTCATCCATCCCACACATAAGGCTCTGCCCTCGGGGCCTCATCACCTCCCAGAAGCCCCCCAGCCTGATACCATCGCCTTAGCAGTTAGAATTTTAGGATATAGACTGAGAGGGAAGGTCACAGACAACACACAGGTTCAAAGTGATAAAGCTCACCTGCCTCCAGGCAGCAGTGCCCAACGGGCCTAGGCAGTGCTGCTGTGAACACAACCTCACCGGAGATGAATGACAGTTGCAAAGGACATCAAGCATGAAGTGAAAATTCTTCTTCAGAGCAAGAGAGAAAGTACTCTCTCCCTCTTTTTCACATATGGAAAATCATTTGGACAGCACAGAACTAGTAACGAGGAGAGACGTGGTGTGTCTGAGTAACGGAAACATTTCAAGCTCATGGTTTAGCTTTGCTGGGAAACTGCATTCGGTCGCTAAGGACGTAGGTGAATGAATTTCACATTTCACTGTGAATGTTGCAACTTGGGGATGTTGCTGTCCTCTGGTTCTAGATTACCTTGGAATAATTATTCATTTTATGGCATTTCTGTCCTCTTATTCCAGCCTCGTTTCTCTGGTTCCTTCTTAGTGCTTTTACACGTGGTTTCCCATTAGTGTTCAACCCTGGCTCCTCCAGGCCCAGTTCCTCGCTATCTAGAAAAGCATCTCCTGCCCGAGGAGCTTTTGGAAGAGAGTCTTTCTGAAGCCATTACTATTCCGAAGAAGCAGCACGATGAATGAATGAATTCTCCTACCCAATTGCTCATCAAATTGTCTAAACTGTTTTTCAAATCTTGTGTATAGTCCCAGAGGAGATAAGAAAATGACTCACAAGAAAGTAGAAACGTATTACCTAAGCAAATCTAGGACCTAAAAATAATATATATTCTAACAATAGATTGTAGCAGATGGCTTACCAGTAATAACCAACTCCTCTCCTCTTACCTCTTCAGGAGAAGCAGTGAATAAACCATCTCTAAAAATGCTCCTCATCAATAAGAGAAAAATGAATCAAAGAAGGGGGGGCATCAGGAACCAGCGGTTAGCATAATATCTTTTTCGCTGGACTCCCACGTAGTCGACCGTGGTTCACGTCCCGGACCCGGTGGCTTAAAACTCACACCGGGCGCGTGTGCGTGTGTGCCCAAGATCCCGAGAGGAGAATGGAGGAGAAGGGATTGTGGCATGACCATCCCCCCTGGGTGTGTGATTTCTCGCTTTCTGTCTCTACGTCTCTCTCTCTTTCTGGCGAGCGCACGCGCCCTATAGCGAAAACCTCTCAAAAAAAAAAAAAAAAAAAGAAGCGGGGGGCACCAGTGCTTTTTGTGGACTCGCAGACTCTGTAAGACTGGAGTGAGACGTGACAGTAAACGCACTTTCACACATCGTCCCACTTTCCTAGAGAGCTAGGCAATGATATGGGGGATCCCGAATGTTGCAAGAAATGTTTTCCAACAAATCGTAACTGTTTCACTTCTTAGACATGTGAAAGACGGAAGGTGGCCAGATTTCAAATCATTGCAAACTCTCAGTATCTGTGACCAAGGTCTTACCACGTACCCACCTTTGGTGGGTATCATCATTCTACTAGGTTTGAATGCTTGCGTCCCCTCCACATCTCATGGCGAAATTTAATTTACAGTACAATAGAGTTACGAGGTGGTGGGCCAGCCCCATAGCCTATAGGTTAAAGGAGCTGGATCCCAAAGAGCCAACTACAGTTCGAATCCAGGGCTAGATGACTTGGAAAACATCCCGTGGAGGGGGGGGAGGGGGAGGCCGGGGGGTATATGCCCCAAATCCCAACAAGAAGGAAAAATGGAGGAGAAGGGATCATGATGTGAGTGTGCCCCATCAGGGAGTGCTTTCTCCCTCTCCTTCAGTTTCTCTCACGTGAGCATATACATGATCTGGCAATTTGAAAAATAATTAAATAACTAAGAGATCAGGAGGGCTCCTGCCTCACGAATGAGCTTAAAGCCTTTATAAAAGAGACTTCACATGCCGTTTGGCCTTTTTGCCATTCTATCCTTTCTGCCACATAAGGACATGGCATTCAAGATGCCACCTTGGAAACAGAGACCAGGCCCTCACATGACAAGCTGAACCTTCCAGCATCTTTATCTTGGTCTTCCAACCCTCCAGAACTGTGAGAAATACATGTATTATCAGTGACCCTGGAACAGCACAGGGGTTAGGGGCAGTAACACCTTCACAGTCAAAAATTGCATATACCTTTTTTAAATTTATCCATTATTTTTTCATGGGAGAGAGAGAAAGACAAGCACCCTCAACAAGGTCTCATGCCATGATCCCCCCAACACCCCTGCCCAGTCTTTTGGCCAGCCAGTATCATGGAGATGCTCACACATACCCTACATATACAAGTCAACCCAGAAACCAAAACTCAAGCTTCAATATGGCCTCCGTCAGGGCAGGCCAGTGTGTTACCATTGCACCACCATGGCTAGTCCCATGTGTCATTTCTGACTCCCCAGAAACTTAACTATGAATAAGCCACTTTTGATTCAAAGCCTTGCCCACATGCAAACAGTAGACTAACACCACTAGATAGACAATATTAACATCTCTGCAGTTCAAATTCATACTGTTCAGGACCAGCAGTTAATGTAATGGCTATGTCGCTGGACTCCCACATAGTCGACTGTGATTCAAGTCCCAGACCCGGCGGCTTAAACTCACGCCGGGAGCATGTGCATGCATGCCCAAGATCCCAAGAGGAGAATGGAGGACAAGGGATTGTGGTGTGGCCATCTCCCCTGGGGGGTGATTTCTTGCTTTCTGTCTCTCTGTCTCCCTCTGTCTTTCTGGTGAGTGCACGCACCCTATAGCAAAAACCCCTCTAAAAATAAAAAAGAAAAAGAAGAAAAAAGAAAAGAAAAATTCATATTGTTCAAGAGCCAACTGTATTTATGAATGACCTCTGTCTCAGGTATTCTGTTATTAACAGCACAAACAAACGGACTAAGACACTTATTTCCTCTGAGACCCAACCCTGTCCCCCTTTGCTTTCTCTGCAACCAGAGCTGATGGCGAGAACGTCGGAGGCTACCTCTTCCTGAAGCCCACCTTCAGGTCCAGCATTTAAATCCAATTATTCAGTTCTTGCTACAGCTTCTAAGAAAGATAGAAGCCCAACTTTTCATTTCACGGCAGAGTTAAAATGCTTCTGTGTTGTATGATCTGTTTATCTGGATTATCTCGGCCATTATTCAGCCCATTGCTTATACATGAACTCCCCATTTTAAGTTTTTGTGAAAATAATCCTTGTAAAAATGGTTTTCTTCTTATCAAGCTGACTACACGAAAACTGGTAAAAGCTAATTGTACCTCCACTTACATTAGGCTACGACGCGCTATCGCTATTCTTAGGTTATTCTTGTTTTAACCTAAGAATGTTCATTCATCTCTTTACTCATTGACCAGCTAATAGTTACTAGTGACCTCCTCTGTGCAAGCTTCACTCCTAAATCCAGCACACAGAACCAGGGAGTGTCTCCCCATAGCCAAAGTGTCCACAGTTTTATAGAGCAAAAGCATCTTGCTGTTGCTCAAAAGATTACAGAGAAAAGAGACATTTTCTGGTTAGAGGATAGAAATGATCTTCCAAAAAAAAATAACTGCTAATTAGTGATTAAAAAGTAAACTTGAAAAATATGTGTGTGTGTGTGTGTGTGTGTGTGTGTGTGTGTGTGTGTGTGTGTGTGTGTGTGTGTGTGTGTGTGTGTGTGTGTGTGTGTGTGTGTGTGTGTGTGTGTGTGTGTGTGTGTGTGTGTATAATAAAAAGATAGCAACCTCAGGACTGCTGTATTAACTCTTGCCTGCACATCATTCTTTAAATCTTCTGCCAGAGTATATGGTGTCAAAAATAGAAAAGTTCACATTTCTCTCTCTCTTTGTATACATGGCTAAAGAAGATGTGGTTAGCTTTCATTTGTAGGTATTGTTATCATAGAAGTTATTACTAGCAATTAATCATTCTTAGATAGCTATTACTGCTACTAATAATAATATTGCTGTTAATTTTAGTAGTAATTAGCAGGAGGACAATATTGTTCATTTCTATGGGTAATATGGTGTACATTATTTCTACATAATATGCATATTTATCACTCATTTAGGATCTTTAATATTCTTTAAACAAATTTTATCATGCTGAAGTCATAAAAATTTAAGGTGAGTCTGTGGTTGGTTGGTTATTTCTTTTTCTTCTAACTGTGAACATTCTTTAACAGGACTCACTTCCTGCAGCTTGAAGGAGCCAACCATGGATTTCAGGCGTGTGAAGGAATATTTCTCCTGGCTCTACTATCAATACCAAATCATTAGCTGCTGTGCCGTCTTGGAGCCCTGGGAGCGGTCTATGTTCAATACCATCTTACTCACCATTTTTGCTATGGTGGTGTATACTGCCTATGTCTTTATCCCAATCCACATTCGCCTGGCTTGGGAATTTTTCTCAAAAATATGTGGGTATCACGGCACAATTTCAAACTGATCTTGTTCGCATTCTGTGAAATGGCATTGCATATTTATATGTTGCTCACAACTTATTGATTTAGGTGAATAGTGTCTTCTTTCACTATCTGACCTAAAAAGCACTCTATGCATCCAAACCCTGCCTGGAGTTGGAGATAGATGTCTCTTTAGCTTCTTTTATACAAGCTTCACTGTGCATCAGACCACAGAGAACACAGTGACTTTACTCCACGAAACATGCTCACACAATGCAAATTGATGACTTCGGAATTTTTTTTTTAAATCAGGACAATTTCATATAAGATTTTTTTCTGGAAAACAGGCTCATTGGAAACATACCAGACTCGTATTTAAAATACTCCCTTGACACTTATTTTACATTGAAAGAGAGATTTTTAAAATGTCTTCATAGGCTACTTTCAGAGGTATTCTATCTTTGTTTACAGTGTATGAAAAGATGTGAATAAATTAGATGCCACCTCCAAAGTCTCATTTTCTAGCAAAATGCCTATACCTAAAATTCTTTTACTTCCAATGCAAAAGAGTAGTGTGGAGGCAATTGTTTCCACTCAGACAGGGTTCATAAATGCTTTCAAATGCCTCTGAAAGTCTGGGTTTGTAACGGTTTAAAATCAACAATGTTGATTTTAGATAACCAAGTAAGTATTATGATACAAAATAATTTTAAGTGTAAGAAGCAAAATATAATCCAAGTTCATTCAAATATTGTGACTTGTGATGCTGCCTTGCTTTGCATGTTGCTGGGGGGAAAAAGAGAAAAGAAATGGTTTTCTTTCTGTGCTTTCACTCAGTGGAGAGAAAAAAAAAGCATGTATTGGGCTCAGGAAGAAAAGCTAATAAATAGGCTGGAAGTAATATTCTACCAGCAGGAACTCGACAGCTCTGGTTAAATGCTTTGATATAGTGGCTCCTTTGCAGAGCAGAAACAAGATTTATTCCATTTCTTTCTAAGTGTTTATCTTAAAAACAAGTATAAGTTTTTAATTAGACTGCTGAATCAAATGTGAATACCAAAGACCAAGCCTTGCAATTTTTCTTTCCTCCCAATAAATATCAATGTTAGTCATTCTGAAGGGTAAAAATATCATTAGGTTTTGGACAACATTTGCACCCTAGTTTGTGTCATGAAAAAGACTGGAGAAGCACTAGAAAGAAAGGTGTTTGGCATGCCAAATTCACTTGCATGTTTGTTAAAACAACAACAACAATGTTTTGAAGAAAAATAGATCTAAACATGTATTTGTTCATTTTTGCAAAATAAAATTAAGTTTAATTTTGTAAGTAAAATACCTACTACTGGATTTACTTTTGCTCATATTGCACTAAATATCTGTGTGGTACATTATAATTCTTCTCAAAGTTAACCATTTCTTACTAATCTGAGATGGCTACTGATAATAAAATGATAGGGTAAAACTAACATTCATTAAGAGACTTGATGTTGGTCAAGTTTTACATGTTGAAGTAGATATTAAAATTCCTGGGGCCAGTGACCAATGTAGCCTAAAGGTTACATTGCAGGAGCCCCATGTAGTGGACTATGGTTCTAGTCCCAGATCCGGCAGCTTAAAATTCATGCTGGGTGCATGTGCGTGCATGCCCAAAATCCTGAGATAAGAATGGAGAAAGGATTGCAGCATGGCCATCCCCCTCCAGGGGGGTGATTTCTTACTTTCTTGCTCTGTCTCTCTCTGTCTCTCTGATGAGCACATGTACCCTATAGCAAAAATCTCTCTAAAAAAAAAAAAAAAGGATTCCTGGGGCCAGCAGACAGCATGATAGTTAAGGCTCTGGATTCCAACATGGCTGACCATGGTTCAAGGACCAGACCCAGTGGCAGTGGCAGGGTGCATGCCCAAATTCCTGAAAGGAGACTGGAGGAGAAGGGATTGTATCATGGCCATCCCCCTAGGTGGTGGTTCCTCACTTTCCCCCTTCCTGCCTCTCTCCAGCAAGTGCACATACCCTATCGGGGGAAAAAAGGGAGAGAGAAAGTCCTCACTTACAGGTAAGGAGCTTGAAACTTGGAAAACTTTTCTTGTTCAAGGTCAGCTAGCTACTAGCAGCATAAGAATGCAAATCTGTGTCAAGACCATGCTATGCCCTGCGAATATTTGGCACATGGAAGCCCAGGGGAGAACAATGTGAGCAAATGAAAGTTGACGGGACAGAGGCCACGACATGTTAGGAAACAGCTCCATCAGATGAAACAGGTAAGGGCATGAGGAGACAGCCAAGGCCTGTGGAACAGCCCAGGTCCTGGCTGCCACCTTTGCTGCTCTACCTAGGGTGCTGTGTTCACCCATTTCTGGGCTTTCCAAGCCCACATGCCTGTTCTGAAAGCTTGCTTTCCCTTTAAAATATTTAACAGAGGATTCTCAGTTAAGCACGGACTTGGATGCATTCCCAGTTCACAATGATTCAACACCCTTATAGACATGAACCCCTGCTAAGTACGCTTGGAATTCAGTCACAAAGATACTGCATTGACCTTCTCAAAATCCTCCTTCTAAAAATAAGAGAGTTAAAATAAACATGAAGAGACACAATAAAGCTTAATAAAGGACCATGCAAAGCACTGTTCCAGGATGTCACTTCAAAGGTAAACATTGCTTTTGAGCAGTCAAATATTAAAAACAGTGCCTCAAAATCATAATCAAATATGGTTTGGGGGCAGGGGAGGGAATCCACCAGTGTGCCATGGGTAAGAAAAGAAAACTCAGCATGCCCTACCTGTTCTGTTGACTTTTTTAGACTTGCCAGAGACGTTTCTTACCTTGACCACATGGCTTAGTTTAGAAACACTTTCATGTGCTTTTCCTTTGCTTCTGTTATTTGGATATTTCAATGCTGAGTGTGAAACTTAAAAAAGAAAAAGAAAGAAAGAAAAGTCAAAGCTTCCCTGGTTCCTGTGGGCTTACGTTTGTCACTTAGTGAACCAGGGAGCATAAAATGTTCTTTCCCTGGTATTGGCCAAGTCAACAATTGCCTTTTTTTCTACTTGCACAACAACAAAAACATGGAATGCCAAAACAACAACAACAACAAACACAGCCCATTTAAACATCAAGGTAACACTGCTTGGTCTTTACTAAACTGTGGGGAGAAAATAATCAGTACTTCACACTTTCTGCTTCTTTTTTGCTCCCATCAGGACCATATTTAGGTCCTCTCTGTAGGGTCCTGCTGGGAGGCAGATTTGTCCTCATTTCTGAATCCTCAGATGTAGCCGTTGCCTGGTATGGTGCCTGGAAGACCCCCTCCTAGGGAACATTTTATAGGTCCCTCACCTGACATTTACACAGATAGGAGAAGCTCTGTATCTGCATTCAGCCAGCCTCAGAATGGACAGTTTCTAGTTATGGTCCAAAAGAGTAACCGACCCCTTCATTCAGTCCTTCAACAAAGGTATTCAAAGCCAACCAGGTATCGATGGAGAGCTAGAAAGATGGAGAGATGAATAAATCTGTGACTTAAAAAGCATAAAAGAAGGCCAGCAGGTGGTGTGGTGGTTAAGATGCTGGACTCCCACATGACCAATCACAGTTTGAGTACCGGATCTGGTGGCTTTTCTTTCTTCCTTTCTCTTTCTCTGTGTCTCAGTCTGTCTCTGGTGAGTGCATATGTACCATAGCAACTTTTTAAGATAATAATAATAAATAAATAAAGTTAAATTATTCTTTGAAAAAAATAACAGAAACTAGGCAACAGGTATGCAGGGATTCATTGTAAAATTTTCTTAATTTTACTGTATGTTTGAAATTTCTTATTTAAAAGACAGTAGAAAAAAAAAAGTCTACCATGTACTAGTCATTGAGCTTGGTACTAGGAAACAAAGATAAATGAGCGAAATAGAAACATTCCCGAATTTATAAATAATTTGCTACACAAGAGAACAAAACAAGCAAACACACACAAAAAAAGAGTTTAAAAATATCTACAAATTGTGGTAAGAATCTACGAAAGAACAGGAGAGTACTAGAGAGAAAGTGACAGGTCGTTGGAGATGGTGGAGCCTTAGGAGTAAAGGGAACCCATTTCTAAAATTTCTCTCTTCCTACCTCACAAGAGTTTGTGGTTTTTCATTCTGTGTCTTGGGCCAGATATGTCACCTTAAAGATTGGCCCTAAAGAACTAAGGAGGATTTTACACGTCGCAGTTCAACTCTCTCCCATCCTGTAACGCTCCCAACTTCATTGCAGGACTTTCTTTTTTTTTAATGTTTTTTAAAATTATTTATTTAATTTGATTTATTCATTCATTTGTTTTAATTCGATGAGAGAAAGAGAGAGACAGAAAGTGAGAAAGCAAGTCACCAGGTCCAGGACTTGGACCATGGTCAGCCACATGGGACTGTCCAGCACTTTAACAGGACTTTCAGCAGGGGGGGATGCGGGAGGGCTGTGATGGCACTCATACTGAAGGAGATGGCCCTGACTGTGGTGGGAGCCACAGGCTGAGGGTCACATGTCAGGGCGGGGAGACCCGACCCGCCTTTACAGATGAGAGCTGGGTAAGGCGCCACAGTTGGAGAGGTGGTCAGTCTGATTTGACATATGTTTTAGAGCTATTTTACAAAGTCAGTAGGTCTTGCTGATGGCTTGGCTCAAAGGGAGTAATTCTATTAAATATATGAAATCCTTTTTATAAAAACTGCTAACCTAGCCAAAGGAAACTTCCTCCTTATTCTGGTAAAGTTATCTTCAGAGCTGATTCAGCTGCCTGTGAAAGAGAATAAAACCTTCTTGAGAGGCTGAAGGAGACAAATACATGTATTTTCCATTTTTCCAGGTTTTAAAGCTTCACTGGGTCTCACTGAGAGCCCTCATACATCTGATTGGAAGAAAGGGCTTCCATTTTCACCATGAAGCAAAATGTATTTGTCTAGGCACTTTTAATCATCAAAATTGACTAGCCAAAATATAAAGTAAATAGCATAGTTGTCCCTAAGAATTAAAGTATTCTAACACTCCTTCTGGAGTTTGGAAGGCTCTGAAGACCAAGCTCAGGGCTAAGGCAGTTTTTTGCTGGCCAATCGTATGGCCTTGGGGTTATTTTTAATTTCTTCCTTTTTTTTTTTTTTTGCCACCATTCACGTTATTCAAAATTTTTTCCTCTATGAAACTTAGTAGAAGTGAGGCAGAATCAAAGAAACTCTCATATATTCAAGAGTCATTGAATCAAAGGGCCATTGAGAGACACACAGGTCTTAAGACTTGCCCCGCAAACAGCCCAGTCAGTCAGTCCTGCAAAATAAGAAAGGTGGGAAATTCATTTCTTTTTTTTATTTTTTTTTAATTCTAACCCTAACCCTAACCCTAACCCTGAGGAAATCCATTTCTTAAAAACAAAGTTCTCAGCCATGTGCTATGATCAGGAGGCTGAGACAGACGGATCTCAAGTTCCAGGCTCACCCGAGCAACACAGACCTTGTCTCTAAAAAACAAACAAACAAAGAAGTAATAAAGTTCCTGAGGGGGAAAATATAAAATACCTAGGTTTCTAAAGTCAAACTCCTTCCCTACCCTTCAATGCCTACCGTAGAGTCTCCAAAGCTCGTTTCAAGTTACTTTTTCTTCTTTAACGATTCAGCTTTTGCAAACGTATACAAGTACGTTCCTCATTAGCAGTCCTGTTTTGGCAATTAATTGCAAACACTATGCTTGGATTAGAGGTCTACTTGAATGCAGTTTCTTCTTCTTGCTGGTAGCAAAGTCATTTGCAGAGATCTGGAAATCAATCGGAAGCTTCCTAAGTGGAGGAGGTGCTGTTCTGTTTTATTTGAAAATATCCTTTCAGACAGGCTAGTATAATAGAGTCCCCTTCCAAGGCCTGGTATGTATTGTTGAAGACGGGTTGGGGTGCAGCAGTAGAGGCGGAGGTAGAGGGGTCACGAGTAGAGCAAGCACGGAGGTGATCTGGGCCATGTCCTGCACCATGCCCACAGATATGTCCAGTCTTCTTGGAGAGTGCTTCCAGGTTCACAGGATGCATGACCAGGTGTGTGCACTGCTTGGTCTTAGACAGGGAGATGCCTCCAGCTTGCCAGTGAGGTCCTTGGTGCAGAATTGCATCTCTCCAGGCAATGCCAGAAGAGTCCAGGTTGAACTTGAGGAGGTCCGGGGAACAACACCAGCTGCTGGTGGTACATGGGCAGACGCGTGACCTTGTCCACCTCCATGCACTGGGCACACATCACGTCAATGGCCTTGCTCTCTTTGGT